GCTCCCGGGGCGGAGGAGCGCGCAGAGCCCTCGGGCTAGACGGGTTTTTAACGCGAGGTTAATTGAAGGCGCGTTTCGCGGCATAGGCAGGCAGCCGGCGCGGCTGGTGGCCCGGGGCGGCGGGTTTTGCCTCCCTGCTTTCCGCCGGGGCTGGGTTTTCCCCCCGTTTCACGGTTCTTCCTCCTCCCCTGCCGTGGTTCCGGGGATGGGCTGTGAACGGGGGAGCGGAGCCGCCTCGGTGTGGACGGAGCCTCCGTTCCCTCCGTCCGCCCCGAAATCTAATGATGGAGTCGATCGTGCTCTGTCCTTGCAGGCTCCTTCCCTCGGCCCCGGGCTGGGGGATGCTGACGTCCCCTCGCCGCTCCGGAGCCTCCAGAGCTGCCTTTGGGAGCCACCTTAACTCTCTTACCACCTCCCGGCTATTTTTATTTTTTTTAAATCTTGCCCTAAGAACGCTGTGATGTGTTGTTTACTTCTTTCTCTAACTTTGATGCTCTCTGTGGCTTCTCTCCTACCACAGGAATTTAACAAGTCTTTATATGTGGTGAACTTTTGGATGCAGATATAAAAATTAAAATATCTCGAGTAAATACTAAACAATGGCTCCCACCAGACTGCGTTAAGTACTGCATTCAGTGCTGCTCGTGGATCCTTTCTAGTGAAAGGTGATGTAAATCCTAGAGCCGGTTCTGTGTGCTCAGTAAAATGCTGTTTATTTGTGTAAAGTCTCTTGTACCTCAGGAGGTTTTATACTCACTCGTGCCTAGAAACCAAAGGTATTTACTAAGTAAGACTTGGGAGGGGGAAGTTGGAGTGTTTTTTCTTTAGATGTAGAGTAATGCTTTCTTAGTCACTTCCCCAGGCAGATCATAGGGTCTTGAAAATAATGTTTTGGTTGTCTCCAGTAAAGATTCAGTTGTTTTGAGATGGGGCTTCTGAGGGGTGAAGAGCGTTAACTAAACTCTTTGGGAGATGTGCGTTATGTTTCTGTGCGGTTTTGTACGTGTTCCTGGTATATTTTGAAAGCATTAGGACAGTTTTTGAAGAGCTTTCCTCTTTCTATAGTATTACCTACTAATTTCACAATGAATAATCCATTGTTTATACCTGTTACATTCCTTTTTTTTTTTCTTGTTCACCTGCAGACAAACAATACAGACTCTGCCAATAGAGTCCACAGTTGCAGTCGGGAGGCTGATTTCTGTGTAAATTCTGAGGTTGCTGAATGGTAACTTTCAGTGCTGGCATGTTGGTTTGTTTTTTTTTTTAGAAAAATCCTTTTTAACCATGTAGCCAGAAGAGGTTAACTACACTGCTGGTTAGCTGTCGATTTTGCCACTAACCTTGATGTGAGTGGAGAACCATACGATTGGTAAAAGGCTCTGTTTGTCATCTTAAACTACACACCTCAAGTCTGTTTTCTGGTACCATAGGTTTCTTAGATCCTGCCTCAGAAACTAAAGAAACTTGCATGAACTCTGTGCTTTACATTGTACAACAAGAAGAATGCAGTGTCAGCCTCTAACTTTAGGTGCAGTTCCATGACATTTATGCTATTTCATTGCAAAGCTGCTCTCATTAAATCTTCTAAAATAAGCTTAACGGGGTTGTTGCAAGACTTTTTCTGTAAAATCTAAACTTGAAACCACATGGAATGTCCTTTTAACATCTAATGATCCATGGTAGTTGGTCAGATCACATACATGTAATTTTTTCTATATGAAGGACAGTAAAAAGCATGAAACAACTGATTTTAAAAGGTTAAGGTTGGTAAGTATTGGGAATTATTGTGGGTAAGTATAAAAATGCAGAGAATGTTCTGAAGGGATTTAAAGCAATTCAAATTATCTTTCACGTCAGAAATGAACTACACTTGCTTTAAGTTTTCCTATCAACCCAATCTGGTTAAAAACAGGTAAAAAAACCACTTGGAAAGGTCAAAATACTCAAAGTGGACTGTGTGTAGTACAAAACTAGAAAGTTACTGCTTTTTTTCATCATTCAGTAGGTACCATTGGTGCTACTTAGGTTTAGACAAGACAACCTAAACTGGTTATTTACAGAAAACCCTTGTAAATACTAATTATGGTTCCATGTATAAGATTTATTTTTATGGGAAGGTCAACCAAATTCATTTTCTGCAAATTCAGGATGTTCATTTTCCTTCCCATTCTTCCTGTCTCAAAAGCTTTGTTTGATATCAGTGAAGGAGTGAGTGTGTTTATCCTAACATACTCTCCTGCGGAAAGAAAGCAGGCAGAGTTGGTAATACAGAGGTGAGGTACCTATGTCTTCTCACTCCAGTAAAACTACCCCAAATTCTTTGGTAATCTGGAAGAATCATTAAACCAGTTGTCTCAGATCTTTACTTAGGAAGCTTTAACTTGCCCAGCCTGCTCACTGCTTCCTTGTCTGTCATTGTGGAGTTGGAAGAATATCATAGCTGGGTACCTTTGCCCAGCTCCTGTTTCTGTGAGAATTGAGGAGGAGGACAGGGAGAGTGACAGCTGAGTGCCTTGGAGGGACAGAAAGCAAAGATACAGGGAGATCCTGAGTTCTGTGTTGACTGTCACTGCCTTGCTTTGTGGCCTTGAGTGAAGCATTGATTTCAGTTTCTTATCTCAGTCTTTTCCATTAAAAAAAGGCAAGGAATTGAGAATGAACATTGCTTTAATCTAAATTATTTTTAGAAAACGAGAGGCAAGCTTCTACTTGGCCCTTTCCTTAATATTAAGAATGTCAGGAAATACGCATGTCAAAGCTTTAGTCGCTAATAAAACATAGAGAGTTTGGTACGTAGGCTACTGCAGCGTGTGTTGCTGCCAAAAGATAGCTTTGCTGAAAGCTATCTGGGAAGTATGTGATGTATTAATTTTATCATTTCATGAGGTGTGAAAATCTCAGGCACTAACAGTCGGTTGATTCCCAAAGGCACTCAGAAAAGCTTGTCTTTAAAATAGGAGCTTGTAGACTTACAGGCTTTTTTTCTTACTAAAACTTCAATAACTTAAAGCTGTCTGAAGAGTTTACAGTCTAGCTACTGAGGTACATTCAGGTAGTTATTTTTGCCCAGTTGTCAAAAATGCAGATTTTTTTGCAGTTCTTTGTTTGAAGCAGTTAGTAATATCTTTGGAGTTCAGCACCAGTACACAGATGCTTTAGGCACGGTGTTTGCCCTGGTCCTTAGGAAGGTGGGGGAGCTGCCCAGTGCTTTCCTGGGAACAGCTCTTGTGCTAGTTTTCCTCGTATGACTTCTAGGAAACTGAAAACAGAATTCTTGCGTTCTGGTGTTTGATAGGGGAGATGTCCGTGAATGCAGCAGGAGGAAGGAGCGGTGGGTGTCCCAACAGTTCAGCCATTCATCTGCCACGAGGTGGCTGCTTCTTGCTTTGCAGGTCCCACGTGTGCACTTGTCATGCCTCGGTGCAGCAAGGCAGTGTCTGGTCAGGAAGCAGCGCGGGCTAACAGGAGGTTACCAGCTTCATTTGTAAAGACCCCAAGTGCTGTTTGGAGGGGTATGTTGCTTTGAGTTAGCTTTTTTGTGGACGGAGCACCCGTTCCTGGCTGCGGTGGTGCTGGAGCATGCCACCTACGTGCTTTCATTTGAAAGAGATTAATCTCCTGTGCTGTAAGACTGTTCTACTATAAAAATGCAAGCCCGATACCTGAGGAGGATCTGGTATTTACTTCAGAACTATGCTTCTATTTGAAAATACAAGCTTCTATTTGAACTAAAATACAAGCATAGATGTACTCTGGTAATTTGTAATGGAATCAGGCACTTGTGACTGTTAGACCATAACTGCCAGTAAAATACTGTGTCTTTTTTCTCTGTTGTGTGTTGCAAACCCTTAGAAGCCCAAACTGTTCTCTTTGTTCTAGGAGAAAAATACTCTTTAGGTTACTGCTGAGATTAAGACCTGGAGTTTAAAAACTAGTCAAAAAAACCCATCCAGATTCAAAGCAGATAGAGAATCAGACAAGAAACTGAACGAGTTCTCTGTTACAGCTAATTTTCTCTGAAATGAAAAAAAAAATAAGTTTGTTACTAGAACTGGGTTACAGGTCTGTATGATTTGTAGATGATGAGTATCTCCTTGGCAGGCCTGGATGATAATACTCCTTCACCACGTCCTTCAGCAGTGTCTTTTATGTTTCAGGAAAAGTTGGCCTATTCATGCATGAACCCAGCAGTTCTGTGTAAGGGATGTTGAGCTGATTGTGCCTCAAAGCAGAACATTTTATTACCGTAAGCATGAATAACTACAGAAGTAGTGACAGCCATATAGTTACAGTATGCGGCTTGTTCTGAAAAATGTACATGATCTGAAGTACTTTCTTCTAATTCTGCATGCACCGGTGAATTTATTTAATCCTTTCTTACAGGCTTTACTGAAAGAGATTTTTTTCACAGTATTTTTCAATAGCTCCTCTGGCTCCCTCTACTCCTGGAGGGAGGGCAGTGGCAGAGTTGGTACAGTACCGCTGTTTTGATTTCTCTCCCTCTTCCCAAACGCATACAATATTCAGTATTTTCAAGAAACTGGTTTACAGTTATCTGTAATTTTCTGGCCAGACTCTTGTCATGCAGTGAAGCCTCACTTCTTTCTTCCTCCGCAATAGGATTGCTATGAAGAGAGACAAGGAAGTTGGTAATTTTTCCATCTGTGCAGTCTGCAGAGCAGAAAATTCTTAGTAGAGTCTCATACTTTCCAGTTTGTTATTGCATGTCTTGTATCACTTTTCTTGCTGTCTTTGAGGAGCCCTGGAGTTCTGACAGCCCTCTCAGGTTTGTCCTTAACTTCCTTATTCAAAACTTTGCCTGAGATCAGGATCTTGGATTACGTTTTTCTCACTTTCATAATTAATACCAGGACTACGTCTTTTGTAAGTATTTTGAACGTAAGTTTAAGGTAGATTCAGAATGCCTCGCCCACAGGATTTTTTTCATTCAAAGACAGAAGTGATTATCAGACTATGACAGGACACAACTGAAGATCCTGCTGGTTTCCATGGAAGCCCCTTGGTTTGTAATAGCTGGAATAGCAGACGGTTCTACAAACAGCTTGTGAAGTGCTCGTGTGGGGGAGTGGGTATGGGGAGCAAGAAACTTGATTGCCTCTTATTTGTGCATTAGTATCATTCTCCTGTGAAATTCATTATTGCTTATCTCAAACCAAACTCCCACAGATCCACTAAACAAAAGCATGTCTTGGTGCCTCTGAGTGCCATTCTTTCAAAACTAAATGTTAGACCATCTGCAGTCCTCTTAAGCTGTTGATGATGGTACTCCTGGGATGGCTGCCCCGCTGACAGAAAATACCAGTTCTCTATTCAGAAAAATAGGAATGCCAGAGTGGATGAATTGCAATTCTAACAAAATAATGTGGATTATAGATTTGTAAATCCCCTACAATCTATGATTTATAATTCCCCCAAACACTTAAAAATTTATTGAGCAGAAGGGTAAAGTGCATACAAGCAGGAAAATACTTTTATCGTTTTAGACCTGAATTCATACTGAAAGTTTGAGCCTAAACAGTTACAATATTTATCGAACACTGGGTTTGCCAGCAGATCTGCATGTAAGCATGTTGGAAGCTGGCACCAGCAACAGTCATTCTGACTAGATGTGCCTTAACATGATCTTGAAATTACAGGCACACTCCGGCATAGTAATGAGATGCAGTCTGGCAGGCATACTTCCCTTAAAGAGACATTGTCTTGGTGCACAGATGTGAAAATAGGAGAGAAAATTTTAGAACCTGGGTTTTCAACATGCCATATGGAGCTTTTGGGTTTTTTTTTTGCTCTTCCCTAAATGAAAACAAGGAATCTGTAACAGCACTTGAAGCGAGATGTGGCTGCAGTGGGTGTACTGACGGGTGGAGGTGGAAAGTAATGCTTCCTCCAGCAAGAGTCCTGGGGTATGTTAGAGCACTCTTACCTGTCTCCTGCAGTATGAGCTTGATTCATCATTAGTCTTCACTGAATTGAATTCTATTTGGGGATGCTTCATGTGTGTCGTTTGAGCTCGCAAATAAGGAATGACAGTGTTTATAAAGATTGTGCTGCAGGCGGCTTAAAAATCATTTAGGAAAGCAATTGTCTTTGGTTTCCTACAGACAGGCGTCATCTCTGCAAATAGCAAGGGAATGGGAAGCTGAGGTAAAGGAGAGTATCTTGTTAGTGCATATATAAGCTGTGACAAAAGTGATTTGGATTAAATGTATGCTTCCTTCCTTAAAGGTGGAAGGGGTCTGCTTTTGATCTGAGGAGGTGGATAGGTAGCATGAACAGTATTTCTGCTGGTTTGGGGACAAAGAAAAATACGGATTTCCTGTACAAAACAGAGTTTTGAAGAAGTCACAATACTCTCAAATAGGTGAACCAAACACCTCTCCCAGCGTTTTATGTAAGTTAATCAGGGTGGAGAAAACAAGTTCTGAGTTTTGACAGTGAAGTTACATGTGGAGACTTGGCTGTAGCGATGGCTTGACTGGTAATTTATAGCAAACAGCGAAGGAGGCAGTGCCTCTCCACAGCCCGAAGAACACTGCCTTTTCGTTGGGCTCTCTCTACTAACAGGCATGACTCTGCTCTCCCATCTTCCCGTCCTCCTGAGGCTGTTGGATCTACCTCACTGCAAATCTGTAAGAACATACATTGTGCGATCGAGGCTTCTTGTTCTTTTTTTACCTTATTTTTAATGTGCGGATCAGAGAAGTTATTCTATGGGAAACTGCCAAGAGAACACAAGTGTTTTTTCCAAACCCCTTTGAACACCTTTTGTAAGGAGTGAGTGACTGAAATGTTAGTTCCTTCCAGTAACTGTTAAATGTCCCTGCTAAGCATTGCAGAGGTGAGCAGAGTTGTCAGGTGATACATTTAGTGAACATGGAGCAAAATCTTCTCTACAGTGGAAAAATTTGCATGTTGTTATCACATCTTCAAATACGAAGAGGTTTGGCAATGCTGAACTGTTAAAGGACAGTCAAACTTCAGTGAGCTTTTAGGTGAAAATATTTTAGATGTACAATCAGATGAATCCAGTTCTTTAAACCTCATCATTGAGAACTGCAGAGCCAGCTTCAGAATGTCACTAATAAACACCCCTCTGTAGCAGAGAAAATCTCTTAAATTATTACTGGTATGTCACATTGTTGCTGACTTGTTTCCCCTGTCGCTTACATAAACCAGCAGGATAAACAGGCACAGGAAATGGCTGGTAATTCTCCATGGATGGAGGGTGATGTTAAGTGCCTGCTCCTGTGAAAAATTCTCAGTTCACCTTTTTTAAGAAGATTTGACTTACTTCTCATACTTTTTTTGCTGTTTTTAAGCATAAAGGATAAGGTTTTCTTGTAACTCTGGATGGGGAGGTTTGGAATTACTTCAGAAAATTCATTTTTACTTTGAACGCCCTTTCTCTCCTGTGTGATTGTGCTGGCGTTTCTGTATCAAAAGGGTTGGCCTGTTGGCAATTACCATGATCCTTGTCTTCATCCGAGCTTTGAATCCAGTGGACTATTGAATAAGCAAATAAAACCGGCTTGTTCAGGAAGATGAAACAGAGTATCTGACTGAATTTCGAATTTCATTAGAGGGAAGACCGAGGCAGGTAAACATCAAGAGAGGAGATGAATTTCCTTATGCTCAACCCCTAACATGACTGAATTTGCAGGAAGATCAGCTGAGAGCAACCCCCAGCCTTGCTGCAAGGCCCTTTACCTGCAATGCAGTGCTGTGCAGCTGCAGCTAGGTGGTGGAGGCAAATCCCTCTTCTCCCTCACTCTTGCACAAAGCTTTGCTGCGTTCGGGAAGAACCAGCCCCTCCGCCTGCCGTTGATGTCCCCCTGCTTCCTGAACAGTGTGGCATCTGATTTTTAATGGCTCTTTCGAAAACCATTGGGCTGTCTTCAGGAATATCTTTATCAATGGGAGGCCGTGCTTCATGCAGGTAGGTTACCTTTTTTTTTTTTTTTTTTTTTTTTTTTGTCTCATGAATTTGCGGTTCTTTAGGCATTCCTGAGAGAATAAGGACTTTTGGGAGGGTCTCTACAAATGGATTCACACAAATTCCATGCAGGATCTAACATTTTGCCTTAGCATTTGTTCCGTATTATTTTCCTTAAGTAAAATATTGCTGTCTAGTTGTAGAGAAACCCTGCAAATCCAGTTAATTCTGATAATTAATTAGCACATTGAGAGAGCAGAAAGTAAAAGGTGATCAAGGTGGTGTTAAGTAGAACGGAGGTAGCTGTAAAAAAGAAGTACCCTAGAACACTTGATCTTTAATGTGTAAGCCATTAACCATTTTTTTTTAAAAAGCTCTTTATACATTTTATCTGCTTTTGCAATATTTCTGACAGCTGTTTTGGCTGTCATCTTTAAATACTGAGTATGGATTTTTCTGCTGTCTTTAACAGGCTTTTGTGCCTTTTAGAGTACTGTCTTAAGTGAAGCAGACAGATGAGGGTTGTGGTTTTGTGTATCGGGCTTTTTTTTTTTTTGTATTAATACATATTCTGCACTGATTTAAGTCTCTTAATCCCTATCTGCAGTTGACATGGTCACTTTGGGGTAAGAAGGTGGTGGGATGTAATAGCATCTGATTACTTTTCTCAGGAAGGCAAAAGAATTGAGATGTGTTTTGGAGGTGATTTCATAAAGGAAATAGCACTGTAGAAATGTATATGACCTGAATATAGCTCACTGTAACATCAGTTGGTATAATAGATACTAATATAGATGTGAAATGCTTTTGGATCCCCAGGACAGACTCAGATGCAGACTCCAGGGTGTGTCGTGTACGAGGCTGTCAGCACGATTCGTCAGCCCCTTCTTAGGAGGGGCACAGAAAGCTTCCAAGAGAATGGGGTTTAGTGCTTCCAGTAACTTCTTCCTTGATGCATGAAATGACTATTATTGAAAAGCATTGGGACTGCAGAATGGCACGATGTTTCTGTCTGCATCAGTGGTTCTTAAGATGAGTTTTCTTTTGAATTGGTTCTAATCCCCTACATCTTGCGCAGTTATAAATGTGAGAATATTGAAACAGCATTGGGGAGAATTAGTCTGTACTATTTAGGCCATGGGTGTGGCTACTGGATTTAAATTCTCCTTTCTATCCCATTCTGTGTTCTGGTTCCCCTGTCTGTAGGATTAGTTATATATGAGCATCCAGATTCCCTTTCAACCATTCTGTCCACAACCCTTTCTTGCCATTGCTACGTGCTCTTAATTTGGGGATAGTCTGCGACTTTATTCATAGCTCTGTTGTCCCCAAAGGAATGAAGCAGTTTTAAAGTAGCTTTTGGACCTCCAAGACTTCCCCCCCAGTTTCCTTCTTCCTACACCGGACTTGTAATTCTGTGGCTCACAGAGCAAGGTCTAAATAAAGTATCTTGGAGCTGGATCAAGCGATAGGGTTGTTAATAAATGTCTCATTAGCCTAGCAGCAATGGAATGGACTGTCTGGCAGTCTTGGTTTATGGTTCAGGATCACAAATCTGTGCTGTTTATCTGTTCCTGAATTAAAAAATCAGTAGGACTTACTAGCTCTGAGAACAGACTGGAAAGTAAATGTTGAGTGGTTTGGTTGTGCCTGGAATGACCTTTGTAGCTCCTCTTTGCTTTAATGAACTTCAGTTCCAGATTGTAAATGGCTACAAGTTTATTCATGATCAAATTGGAACAGGCAACTTCTTCCTTTTCCTGCTCCATAGATATTTAAGATGGCTGTAATTTTAATATATTCAATGTATGAAGTCTCAACAGAGTGCATGCGGAGTGGGTAAATGCTGAACGTTCATTCTGCTGTGTAACTATTCAAAACTGAAATGTTAATCTTGCCCCATGGATTAAGATCAGTTAGTGCAGCCATGATATGATGCACAGGCCTCCATCTCAGTTACAAGGTACAAAAACTGCATCCCAAAGCCCACATGTATTAGCATAGCCACTGGCCAGTGACTGCCTCAGCAGTTAGTCCTTGGAGCAAAATGGGTTGAATTTGACATAGAGTGGTGGAAGGGGTCAGTTATATCTGCTGCTTCACTGAAACAATAGTTTCAGTCCAAGAAACTTCCACTAATTCACGCTGACAGGGAAGTTCATTGTAAAGAATGTTATCTCATGCTTCTGTGTCATTGCTGTTAAGAAATGTATTGCCTGCCTCTTTGGACAACTCCAGGTTTTTTTAATATACTGCCTAGAAGAGAAAGCTTCATGTTGATATCCTGCAGTACTTTGCCATTAAATCTTGCCAGTGCAAATGGGCTATAGGCACTGTTCTCATAAATGCTTGCTTTGTACAAAAGGATATTGAAGATTAAACTTTGCAGACAATTAACTGTTCCCTGTAATGCTTTGTAAAGTAAATAACTTGCATGTTTCAGTATTACTGTTTTGAGAGCTGTTTGGTTGAAAGCAGTTGGGGCACAGGGGAAGCAGCACCATGTTCTAGCTCAGGGAGCTCAAACACAGCTTAAATGCATGAGAGCAGTGAGATGGCCTTTGCCAACATGATCTTCACAAGCAGGAACGTAGAGTAGCACATTTGGTGAAAAGTTAAATGCACAAAATAACGCTTTCATTTATGAATGTGGGAGTGAAAAAAAAAAAATACACGACACCTTGGTGCCTGATTTCAATCCCTCTGCAATCGCAAGCTCTCAGAAGGATTTACAGAACATCTGCTCTGTGTGCTCCCACTCTCCGTAGTTCAGACAACAGTAATAAACTTTAGACCTTCAGTGAAGAGACAAACTAGAAATGCAGCTTACCACATGAGAACAGGAGAAATCAAGGGCAATATTAGGGATTTTAGAGCTCTAAAGTGTTAGAAGCAGAAGGATTGTAAATGTTAGTTTGATCTCAAAGGTGAAAGGGACAAAGGGCACAAGTTCTAAAACATGATTTGATTTTTATTTTTTTTTTTTCAAAGGAGGAAGAAATAATTGATGTTAGTCTTTAAAATAACATTCATCAACATTTAAATCTTTGTGTTTTGTGTGAGGTAACATTTGCTTTGGGAAAGTCCTCAGTGAATGAAAGACTTGGTGGGATCACGAAGCTTTTAATTTGCTATCTTGTCTGATCTTTTCTTTGTTCTGCTATAAAAGTGAATCTAGGGCATTAAGTTGTATTTCTCACTCGTATATGAAAAATTGTTTCTATTTACTTTTATGCTAGTTTAGGAGTAAAAGCCTTTAAATGTGCAAATAGTTTTTCTGAAGGCTGAATATTGCATTTCCCCCATTATCAGCAATTCCTCATGTGAAAGGAAAGCTACTGAATGAAGAGTAACATGTGTGAGACATGCAGTGTGTTCTCTTTCAGACCCGACACTCAGCATCGGGGACCTGCTGCTCATTCAGAGAATGATCTTCCAGAGCAAGAGGAAGAAATCCTGGGATCAGATGATGATGAACAAGAGGATCCAAATGATTACTGTAAAGGTGAGCACTTGCCTGTTCAAGGTGTAGAATTTTCAATGTAGTCAAGAAATTCCCTTGATTTCTCATCTACTACAGAGAATGAAAATAGACTCCCCCTTACTTTTGAAACTACATGATGATAATGTTTTTCAAGCCAACCTGAAATGGAGAAACTATTCTCCAAGGTTCCCTTGTTACCAGTCAAGACTTGAGCTGGGAGCTGGTTTTAATGCATGAGTTTAAAGCTGGTGGCTTTTCCTCTGTGCCAGAGGGGTTTCGGATTTGGTACAAGCAAGTCGGCATTCAGTTCCTTTCTGATTTTCATCAGAAAAAGGACACTTTCAAATCCTTCGAGTCGGTTTCCAATTCTTCATTGTTTTCTTTTGAAGATCATCATTTAATAATCCTTTCTTAAGATAACTTTGTGTCTGCAAATACAGTCTTCCACTGTTTCTCTGAGTAGAAACTAAATACAGAACAAATGGAGCTACCACAGCATATAATTCAATATCAAAGGGGTCAGGCTGGTTTTTAACATAGCAGATACTTTTAAAAAGACACGACTGGTCATACAAAAATATAACCGATGAGTTAGTTGAAGCTTGAACTTGTGCCCCCACCTCCAAGCGCTTTGTAAGACTATTTCTCTGATACTATTTATTGTATATATTGAATAAGACAGGGGGAGAAGCATGTAACAAATGCCATATATGTGTATAAAAAATGCAAAGTAGAAATAGCACAGGGAACTTGAATTGCAATGTTTCTTACACTTCAGTGCTTTACTTCAAAGCATCTATGTTACTTTAGCATGCTACCCAAATATTTGTGGGATTTTGTTTGTTGTAAAGCAAGTGGAAAGAAGAAAGCCATTGTGTGTATTAGCAGTTGCTGCAGATGTCACTGTTGTAACAGAAATCTTTAGGTGCAGAAAAGGATCTTCTGCTGCTTGAGCTAATGAAGTAATGGATGGCAATTGCCTTGTGTTTGAACCACTTGGGAGAGATGAATCTTTCTGGCAAAGCATGCATTTCATGGCTGGTATTTGCTGACCACAATTGAATAGTAAGCGCCTGGAATCTAGGGTGTAATTCCAGGTTCTGTCAAAAATTTATGCCTCAACAATCACAGTTTCTTCTCTTCGTTCTGTTTTCTGCCAGTTCTCTTGTGTCTGGCCTTTCTCGTCTTTGCTTCCTTCATGGAATCCTGCTGCATGGTCAGCAGAGGTACCTGGGGTACAGGGAGTGGACTTTCTTATTTTCAGTGATGATGTTAAATGGCAGTTGCAGGGAAAACTCTGAGATCTTGGGTGCAGTGCTCTTCCATGTTAGGGGGACAGAGCCTGCAAAAGCAATGCTGATATTTACCTGTAAGATTCTGTTACTGAACATCATAAGCTCTTTTTTCCAAAGGTGATCAGCCTAGCAGACTTCAGATGCTTTCACTGAGGAAACGGTCTTTTGTGATGCTGCAGTGATGACCTACATTGAAAAAGAGGAAAAGTCATTCTAGTTCAATTATATAAAAACTTTTCAATCAACTGGAGGACTGTTAAGAGCTCTTCCTCTAACATACTGTATGTTTGTTCTGGCAAGATCCAATTAGGGAAACATATGCATTTGTTTATATGATTAAAAAATAAGTCTGCCTCAAGTTGTGATGCTTGTTCCACGTATCTGCTCTTCAGTACTTGCATGACGTCTTGATACATCAACTCCCCCCTGTTTTTCTAGGTGGTTATCACCTTGTGAAAATAGGAGATCTTTTTAATGGACGATACCACGTGATTCGGAAGCTTGGATGGGGCCACTTCTCCACCGTGTGGCTAGCTTGGGACATCCAGTAAGTCTGTTCTAGCTCGTGTTTCTGGTGGGAACGCAGAGTGTTGTACAAACGTGATTGGAAAACATCTTGTTACTTTTAGATAAAAACCCAAAACATAGCTATCCACATCCTAACACAGAAGTTTCTTTTGATATTTGCATACAAGTGTGTGGGAGGGACTTAACAGGACAGACCATGTATGTGGAAAGAGTGCTCTTGTCTTCAGCAGTCTCTGAACTATTATTTCATTTTCTGAGAAATTACTAACATGGATGTTTCATAAGAGACCCTAAGACAATCTTTATGAGTACTTAAAGGGTATTTTTCCATGATGCCTTAAATAAGTAGCTCTCTTATCTGTAAAAGAATTAGGAAAATCCTGGAGACTTTGTTTGAGTGTTAATGGTCTCCAATTTGCTTACCGTATGTGCATAGAGGGAGGAGATTTGTGGCAATGAAGGTGGTGAAGAGTGCGGAGCACTACACGGAAACAGCCCTGGATGAAATCAAGTTGCTGAAATCGGTGAGTACCTGAGAGCAGGGTTAAATTATTTTTTTTAAACTCATTTTGGGGATTCACATTAGTCACATGCTTGATATTTCTGGACTATCTAGCTGCAAAGAATTTGGATAGGAACCTAACAGTAGTGCAGTAGTTCTGACTTCAGAAGATATTCTTGTTTGGTAATTATCTTAGGAAGCACAAAATGAATTCTGTTTTTCTCTGCAGGTCCGCAACAGCGATCCAAATGATCCAAGTAAAGAGAGAGTTGTTCAGCTATTAGATGACTTCAAGATCTCAGGAGTTAATGGTTCTCGTATCCTTTTATGGAATGAAGATGAGGAATTGAATATAAAGGTGGGAGTTTGCTGGGTGGCTGTCCTGTTGGTGCTGGTGAGTGATGCTCAGACATCCCTTTTACTGCCCAAGGAAACCTGTTGTAGAGTCATCTGCCTCAAAAACTGCTTGCTAAGCTCAGTCCAGAATGATCATTCAGCCTGACATAATGTGTAAGCTGTGGAGACAGCACTGCTTAGTCATGCTTTTAAACAGGAGAGATGAAGTGGCTGTGTCTGATTTGTGAATCAGAACTGAGTGGTTTGTTGTCCGAGGAACCTTTGGGGTAAGAGAGCCCATCTGTCTCAAACCCTCAGTTCTCCAAGCAGCCTGGTAATAGCCCCTTATTTAAGTAAAACAGTACAAAATATTAAGATCAGTAATAAAAAATAGCAAACACATGCAGTCTGTTATTTGATAAGAGGATTATTTTCTAGTTATGGAAGCATCTTACCTTGGACTTTAAACATCCTGACAATGTTGATAAAGTTGCATTGCTTTAAAAATCCCCTGTCGTTCTGTGAACAGTCTTCTAACAGGCAGCGATTTGCAACAAGTCCTAATAACACACCCTTAAAATTTGAAAGCAGGACTTCTGTGCATCTTTCTGCTTTGCAGTACCTTGAACTTTATTTTGGTGAGAATTAGTAGGCTGCTTGAGAGAATCGAGCTGTAGGTTATAAATGTTCAAACACTTTTAGAAAACAGTAGCTCCATAATGTATTTCCTCTTAACTTTTTTCTGAGCACTGAGTAAATGTTGACCTCATCTTGTGTTTCTTTCTCTCTTGCAAAACACATGTGTGCTTTCTGCTAGTGTGGAAGACAAGCACCCTAATAAACTCCTAACTCCTGAAGCAAAGGCTCAATACTGAATATGTCACTAGAGTAACTGTAGCTGTTGAGATCTTTATAGACAAAAAGCAAATAATGTAAATATTGTTGAAGTCCAGGCTTGTCAAAAGTTTGTTTTGCTGCTGAAGAGGCAAGGAAGGGCGGAGAAAGTAACTTAATTGTTCTGAAGATGACTTATGAAATGGAAATTTTATTATCTTTTCAGGTAATGATGGTACAGAGAGATCTGGCATCAAGTTTTGCCTGGGGCAAGAGCCTAGGCTGTTCCAAAACATACATTGAGGGCTTGAAGCTGTCTCAATACTAGCATGAAATACTAACACACACTTGCTTGTGTAACTGGATTCCACTCAAAGCAGGAGATTTTTACTTCTACATTAGGAGCATTGTCCTAATCAACTCCATCCCTCTGTGTTTTAGGTTTTAGCTGATGACACTGATGTGTGGGATAAGATGGAGCTGTTAAGGAAGGCAGCTTCTCTATGCTGTGTCAGAAGGATGAGGATTCTTTAATATAAAACGTTTAACTGGTGTGGATTTCTTTTGATCCTTAGAACTTGGGCTCCTTGGGTCAGGATGTCCATCTTTTTCCTTGACGGAGTTCCAGATATCTGTATGGTGTTTGAAGTTCTAGGGCATCATCTCCTGAAGTGGATCATCAAGTCAAATTATCAGGGGCTTCCACTCCCTTGTGTCAAAAAGATCATCAAACAGGTAAGTTGCAGTTCTGACTGCACTGTTCCCCTCAACCCAGTGAGAAATCTTTCACTAATCTTTCTTAGATCCAAGAAAACAAAAGTTACAAATCAGTGGTACATCTCTCATGCAACAGAATCATTCTTGGGTTAATATTTCCTTTCTCTATTGCAAAAACCTTCTGCTACAGATATTTATTTTCTGACGCTTAAACCATGATGGGAGGACAACTTTCCTTTCAACTTCTTACCCTGGTTATTCCTCTTAAGTGCAAGTATTTTTTTTAAAACAGTCACAGTAAGTACAGTGCTTAATGGTGGGAAGAGCGAGAGAAACCTGTTCTTCCTACTGGATGGTTGCCTAAGAAGAAACATCCTTCTACATGTGAGGTAGAGGGGAGGAGGAAAGCATGATTTTATGGGTACAGTATTAAGATTAGATTTTCAACTGTGGTAATTTGTGAGGGTGAAGAGTATTGTAAATTCATAATGAAAATCTGTATGCGAATCTATATTTTTCTGGAACTTGGTAGTAACCACTGATCATGTTAGCTCTAATCTGTTCTCAAACACAGAAGTCCTTCAGGTTCATTGGTCACACTAAGCAAATTTTCATTTTCACTTCAATTTGCTCATTCTCTGCTTTTATTTTTTTTAGTGATCGATTTCCTTCTCTCCTGTCTGCAGGTTCTTCAGGGTCTGGATTACTTGCACACAAAATGCCGAATCATTCATACAGATATTAAACCTGAGAACATTCTTCTGTGTGTTAATGACCAGTATATCCGCAGGCTGGCTGCAGAGGCAACGGAGTGGCAGAGATCTGGGGCTCCCCCACCATCTGGCTCTGCAGGTGCTTTTTTCCTAAATACTGGTGCTATTTCCCTGCAAATCATGGCTAATTTCATGAGGGAAAACTTCCTGAGTACAGTGGAACAGTAATGCAAGTAACTTCTGAAAAGCCAGCTGTAAATTGTGAAGTTAGTCGTCGGTTGTAACTCGGAGATGATCAGGCAGGCAGTCGTTTGTATAAGAAAAATGGAGGGAGGATACATGCATGTATCTTCTCATTCCTGGTGTGTAGTGTTCCTCCTCAGAATATCCATCTGCACCAGTATGTAGTTTTCAGGAACTACTGCAGTGTGTATTGGAAGGCTTCTCTGTCATAATCTTACAACACCAACATTTGACTGAGCCCATCACAGCTTAGCTTAGGGGAGCTCCCGTAACTTTGGTATTTTAATGTTTTAATTTGCATTGTCTTTTCCGTAAGATGAAGTAAATGAAGCTGCCTGACAGGAAGTTTGAGTCTTTGATATAAGTCAAGCAAGTCTTCTAGCTGGAATTTTAATTATGCATTTACTCATTTTAATGTTTTTCTTTTTTTATTTTTGCTGTAGCTTTGTAGAGAAATGAGCCTTCAAAATAACACTTGCTCGTATCTTTAAAATGTTGTTATCAAACCACGTAGGAAAAGCTTAAGACAAGAACGCAGTTGCTGTTTCTGAATTTAAACTAATTTACTGATCTTCCTTTCCCTTTCAGTGAGCACTGCACCACAGCCAAAACCAGTAAGTGTAATAGCTTTTGTGCTTAAGTATCCATCTACTTACAGTATCTACTGCATTGTTTCATAATTCAGTCAGCATTAGGGGAAAAGCAACCTTGTATCAGAAAGAAAAACATAATTTGTGTTTGTCATAGGCATCAGGTTCAATGTTGTCTCAGAGATGTAAGTAGTATTAGCTCATATATCACCAGAACGAGTAGTTTTCTTGGTGATCTCAAGGTCTGTTGTGAAGGTGACTGTGGAGTCTGAGATCCCTCATTTGGAAAATACTCCAGGTTTTTCAGGTCAGGCCAGAAATGCACTGATAAGAGCCATAGACAACTGCTCCAGAAACCTTAATATCTGCTTTTTATTTGGGCAAAGAACTGTCTCCAGAGTCTTCATCCCAGACTGCTTTCTCAGCTCTAAAATAAATTAAAACTTGACACATTTTAGATTTATTGAAACATGGAATGCTAAGTCCAATTCCTCTACTTCTGTGTAGGCTGACAAAATGTCAAAGAATAAGAAAAAGAAGTTGAAAAAGAAGCAGAAACGACAGGCTGAGTTGTTAGAGAAGCGAATGCAAGAGATAGAGGAAATGGAGAAGGAAGCAAGCCCTGGGCAGACGCAGCCTGAAGAGGAGGAAGAAGCTCAGAGCCCTCTGGAAATGCTCATAAAAGTTAGTCCGCCAGAGGAAATTGTCATCAAAAAGACAGGTATGGACCTGAAGTATTGCTGAAGTAGCAGTGTTGTCCTTTCACTCCTCCTGGCATGAGTACAGTGAGCACCTTCAGTAGAGGTGGCCGTTGTCATTCACCCTGTCCCCATTGCATTCTACCCATCCAGAGGGGCTAGGAAGTTTCCTGTTTCAAACTGAATTATTGTGCTCATTTTGAGCACTACCTACTTCTGAGGGGTCCCTGGAACAGCTTCAGCTATTACTTGGTTTAGACTTACTTTGCTATCTTCTCCTTTTCCACTTTTCCAGCTGAAGTCATTGTGCAGGAGCAATCTATTCTAATGGAAAGCAGCGTGGAAAAATGTGTAACAGAAATGAACTGCAATGGAGTGATACAAATGACGGACTTCCCAGACTCCAGCAATCAAGGGTCTGTGCGACTTGAGGATGACCTTCATAATGCCAATGACTGTGGCAGTCACCCTCATACGCAGAAGAAGGAGAACTTCCATAGTTGTAATTACAGTCAGCGTAACGGTGACTCGGAGAACAGGCCTCAAGAAGCAATGTCGGACTCATTCGTGCCCTTAGTTTCAGAAGATTCCATGGTGTGTCAGCCCACATCCAACGAAGAGCGATCGTTCAGTGAGCAGGAGATTAACCATTTGCAAGAAAGCATCCGGACAGAGATACCTTCAGAGGACGAGAATGAGAATAACAACCCGTCGGACAACAAAGGTATAAGAGGAACCCTGTGAGGAAGGGCTCCTTGGTGTGGGAGAGCTGTTGTTGTGACACTTCATCAGAGTATTGATAGAAACCTTCATTTTGTAGGCTGAAGTGATCAGAACTAACCTGTTTGAGACTTTTCCTGCCAGGAGTAATTAACCTGACAGTCCTACTCTGAAACATTCGCTGCTTGTAGCTTCCCGTTGTAGTTGCACCTTAGTTTTGACTATTGAATGCATAAGTAGTCCCATACGTATGTACCTATATGTTTGTTTTTCAGTACAGGAACATTCCCTCCTTTATCAGGTTGTTGCTTATGTGATTCTTACAGTTAGAAATCTAAGTCTACAAATTGTCACTGGCTGTTAAATTATGGGATAAGTACTGTTCAGCGTGTTCTGATAGTTTTGTTCTTAACACGAAGCACAGGTAATTCCTCTCAGTTACTTGAGATGAGTAAATGTTTTCCCAGAACTGGAAATACAGCCTGAGTGAAACAAAGCTTTTTCAGCATAGGAACAAAAACCTCTTTAATGCTTTTGTTTAAATTATTTGTTTCAGGGGGAAAGAACTGTAAGCCTTGTAGGTTCAGGAGAGCATAAGACACAGTAGTTTACAGCAGTTTAAACACATTCCAGGTGTGTGTGTATGTTAAACACTTGAATCAATTGATAAAATCATCCTCCTTTACATCTTTGAGTCAAGGTCAGGTGAAGTATGTCTGTTTGGAGAAGGAGGGAGAAACTAACATTTGGACTTTCACCAAAAAAAAACCCCAAAAACCTGTAGCATTTTCTTGGCAGAGTACTACTGGGGAGTTATATGGATGAAAGTAGCAATTGAAATTTAAAGATTCTGAAACTTGAACTGCATCTAGTTGGATGCCCCTGCTCCATTAGTATTTTGCTTCTCACAGCTCTCTTCCAAATACCTTTAGAGCTACAGTGGATATAACTAAGTGGCTTAATATTTTTTGCTCTCCACTGTGTCATTGAGCTAAAGTACACATTGGGAAAACCTCTTGTAACCGTCTGTGTTGCAGCAGTGAGTGATGGATATGTCAAAAAGATGCTATAGCATGTAGACTCTGCTTCTTCAAAAATCTGGGAAGACTTTGAGGGTTGAGAGGCTTGTTTTGTTTCTGGCAGTGCCCTCATTTAAAAAGCCTGTCTAGATAAAGACTGACTTAAGGCTGTGGAGAGAGTGCTGGGATCAGTCACTGTTGCCTGTGCTTACTTGTCCTTCTGCTTTCTTAACACGAGTCAGGTGTTAATGGTGGTACTCCTGTTCATAGAGCAGACTGATGCTGATTTTTATACCTAGGCTGTGGGGAGGGAAAAGCTCTGATCCATAAGCAAAACCCTTCCTGGGTAGGGAGAGGGCAGTAGGATTTGGGTGACAGATGGTGACACTGTCCATGTAGCTTTAATCAGCTGCTGTACATGTTGCCTCTAGGAAAATCAACTGCTGGGAATTTCCTTCTTAATCCTCTTGAGCCCAAGAATGCAGATAAGCTCAAAGTGAAGATAGCTGACCTAGGAAATGCCTGCTGGGTGGTAAGTTTAAAATCTTCTCACATTGACTGTTTAACCCTGCTAATTCATTCACAGTATGCCAAGAAGGAAAAGAATCTGTAAAATAGAATCTGTCTTAGACCCGCTTATGGAAGTAGTGAAACTATGTTGGGGAAAAAAGAGGGGGGAGCAGGGACACAGAGGAAGAAGTGGTTTTCTAAGTGGTTTCTGGATGCCTTCCTGGTTGGTAGAGTACTTCTAATGGAGAAATCTGCCTGTGTGAAACTTCTGAAGGAGTCTGTAGCTCTCCTGGAGAATGAGAAGATTGCAGACAAGTGCTCTGATGTGCCAGTTCTGCAGTTTATTAGCTTGTCAAACCATTTCAGTGGATTCATGAGCACATGAAAGACTCATAGTTTTATTCTTTGATGGTTGTGCTGTGCTGCTTTTTAAATGTTTGACATTTCAAATAGAAGAAATGTCTACTTTACTTGGCTTCTTAAATGGCAAAATACTTCAGATCTCATGGGAGTGATGAGTCGCAGATTGAGTTGCACATCAGGCTTGCAGCATCTGCCAAGGTGGTCTCTTATATTGGTGCTGCTTATCTGCTGTGAGGTAGTTGAATCGTGGCCTGTGTCATCAGACAGGAGAGGTTTTTTTTTTTTTTTTTTTTTTTTTTTTTTTTTTTTTTGTGGGTTGCTTTCCTCTAAATTTCTGGACTGTTTTACTTGAAGAGTGTCTTATGCTAAGCATTTAATCAGTACTTGTAGGAATACAAGGAAATATTTAATGAGAATGTAAAGTTCAGATGAAATGGAATGGAGCTTTGATGTGCTCTGACCTTCCAGGTTGTTGATTCCCCTCTTTTAAACAGTTTCTAACTGTTTAGTAAAAAATTTTTCCTTTAGCACAAGCACTTCACTGAAGACATCCAGACAAGACAGTACCGATCCTTGGAGGTGTTGATAGGGTCTGGGTACAACACCCCTGCTGACATCTGGAGCACGGCGTGCATGGTGAGTGGGCTCGGCAGGGGTTTGGACTCTCTCCGCCGAGCGTTCTGGGAAAGTCCCCTGTGCTCTGCACTCTTAGACTGCTGAGTCACTCGCCAAGCCTGGCAAAAAGCCCTCACAGGTGTTCAGCCAACTTCCCGACTGGCTGAATACCATGTTTCCATACCAAAGTTGTCTCATTTATTTTTTTTGCCACGTGTGGCTTTCATTTTGAAAGTTAGTGTTGTTGTACAGCACCAGCAGATCTCAAATATAACTGTACTTTGACATCATGCTTTGTGGAAAAACAAGGCAATTATGCAATTGTGAAGACAAAATCTTTATGTAAAAAGAGCCTTTCCACTGTATCCAGCACTGTTTCACAGATGGCTTCAGTATAAATTCATATTTTAATAATCTGCATCCTTTGCGTGTTTGGAATAATTTTATAATCCGAGTAATGCTGAGACCAGGCTGAAGCTGTTCCTGCAGTAGCTGGCAAATGTAGAATATGGTGATTTTTTTTTTAAAAAAAAAAAAAACAACCACCAAACCAAACAAGTCTGTTCAGTTACTTCATGTGCTTCTTTGGTGTCTCTGTTCTGTGTTATCTACAAAACTTTTTCTGAAAAAAGAAATCTTAGTTTTTATTTTTTAAATTAAGAAAATAGTGAAACAATTTTTGTTATCTTGGAAAACAAGCTGTGATTTTTTTTATTTTTTCTTATTTTTTTATTTCGTGAATGTGGTAAACCAAAATGTGGTAGGGTCACATTGTCTCTGCAGAATGTGTGGCCAAAATTATGCAGTGGTTACTCTGAGTGCCTAGCACAATGCTTAGACTGCAGCAGTCCATTAAGAAAACTTAATAATTCAGAAGGCCAGGGGTACTGTTCTGAGTAAAAGTGAATACATAAAGGGTAAATGTGTCATGGAATTTAGGAGTGGTGAGTTGACATGAATGTAAATGTTTTTCTCATTCAAAACATGTTTTCATATCTTCAGAGATGAACTGTTTGAAAAAGGTCTTTTTCCTATCTGAAATTTAGAGGGAGGGGAGAATCTTAGTAAAAAGTCTAGAGTTTGGGTGTGACATTTTGGAAGATGCTGTTGAGGTGGAAGAGAAGCTAAGCGTGTGAAACACCTTGATTTTTGTACAGTTTCACACAAGCATACTGCATTATGCTCTGATCCAGAATTCATAGATATGTTTGGGTTTTTTTAATGAGTTAAAATGTTGCTAAGTAATTGCCCATTGTGAGATGGTAATGGTGTACTGGAGTTCTACAGGTTATTCTTCCCACCGCATTGCTTCTGGCCTGCAGAGATACAGGCAGGGTTAACCTGGGGTACATCCAACGGGGTGTGAAGTGCATTAAAGTGATTTAACCTGCTCGTTTCTGTTTAGGCCTTCGAGTTGGCAACAGGAGACTATCTGTTTGAGCCTCATTCTGGGGAAGATTACTCACGGGATGAAGGTGTGTTTGTCTAAGTCTTTCCTTTTTAAAACGGGATGTGAAATACAGTGGAGTTTCTTGAGAATGAGCCTTTTATGAGTTAGCAGTGCAAAGGCTTGTTCTGAAAATATTGTTTACCCAGATCAGTGGAGTTAGGGGACAACTGTGCTCCAGCCTCTGCAGTAAACCACCGTGCAAGAAAGTCCATGTTCTTGTTCTGCTGTTTTCCATTTCTCTTACCACTGGATTCTCTCTCTTGCTTCTCAAAACTGTTTATGCCTCAAGTGGCCCTCACCTTTTTCCCCCCTTGCCCCTTGACTCTGTCCTTGCTCAATCTGATTTCAGGGGGATCTCAAAGTGATTTTTAAGGCAGATAATATCTTTGTCATATCTCAGAGAAGAAAACTGGGGCATAGAGATGTCTTGTGTGGATGTGTCTCACCGTCTTTTCTTTCGTCGCAGATCACATTGCATTGATCATAGAACTTCTGGGGAAAATACCTCGCAAGCTCATCTTGGCAGGAAAATATTCCAAGGAGTTTTTCACCAAAAAAGGTAAAAGGAAGCAAAGCAAATGTCACTTATCCCCTCATCCCATGCCCCAAATACACAAGAGTGCCTTGCTGGAAATACCAATTAACAATAGATGCTAGAAAAGATGCCTTTTAAAGTCTTTCCTTTGTTTTATGAAAGGCTCTCTCAGTAAAACTGCAGCTCAATATAAGGCATTCTTGTCTAACTGCTGAAAGTATCCTGCATCCTAGTACTTGACATCTTGGCAGAGATCAAACGCAGCAGTACTGTAGAAAAACAGTACTATAGATATTTCTTCAGGCTTGATTTGACTTTATTTAGCTGATCTTTGTCAACTAGAGGTGTTGGCTCACCTTTGAAGTCTTCTCTAGACAACTTTGTTCCATTTCTAGCATGCCAATCACCTAAATAATGCCTTGCATCCCGAGCCATGTTGTTCAGGACACATTTTACTGTTATAAAGCCTTAAGCACCCTAGAAATGTATTGAGTCTGAAGAAGAAGTTTTTGACCTAGTTTAATACTTTTTTTTTTTTAATATAAAACAAACTCTTTTTTGTTAGTAGTGTATCGCTTCCTCAAACAGTGCTGCATGTATTGCATCTATTCCAAAGTCAACAGCACAGTGTTTATCTGTCATGTCAGCTGGTATAATTGGTGATTTAATGAAGTTAAACAGTATTTGCTGATATTGGATCAGAAATGGCAGGAGGGAAAAAGAGGCCTTCAAGGAGGTACATTTCTAGAACAGTCTTCAAAAGCAGATAGAAAAAGGGTTTTAGTATAACTTGTTTCTTCCTTCAGTGTGCCCTGCCATTTTAAACTCCCTGTGCCCAGCTATTCAGGGCAGTTTCTGATTTCAGTCTGTCTTGTGTAGCAGTTGAGCCTGTTTCATTCAGCTGCTCTGCTCCCATGACTTGCACTTAACCTGTCTGTCTTGGTTTTCAGGTGATTTGAAGCACATCACCAAACTGAAGCCCTGGGGCCTTTTTGAAGTCTTGGTGGAGAAATACGAGTGGTCCCAAGATGAGGCAGCTGCATTCACAGACTTCTTATTACCCATGTTGGAGCTGATCCCAGAGAAACGAGCTACAGCAGCAGAGTGTCTCAGGCACCCCTGGCTTAACTCATAGAGGCTTCAGCCCAATGCCACAGCACTACTCTGGTTTACAGCATAGCGTACATGCACCCAGCTGCCCCTTCCCAGAGCCAGTTTTTTTTTCCCTTGTTCATTTTCAGTGTGAAGTTCTTCCTTCAAGGCTTCCAAGATTTTAGATAAATCTAACCTGTTCTGCTGAGTTTGCTTGTGTGACTCAATGGGGACTCTCCTCAGCCAGTGGGCATCATCTGTTTTGCCTTGATTGGGCTTTGCCAAAGACTAATTGACTAGAATATGAAGTTTTTCCTGAGTTCCCTCACTGTTATGCACCGTGTGTTACAGAAGTGAGCTCACCTGTGCTCAGGTATGCTCCCTAAGCTAAATTTCAACTCTCCTTTCTTCACGAGGGGGATGTGAAGATCCAAACGCCTCCTTATCTCGCTGACTCAGGAGTCGATTTCCCGATGTCAATGCAGTAGTTAGCAATGGGGTGAGAAGTACCAGATGGCACCAAAGTGGTGTTAGTTCCTCATAGAGCAAAGACCTCCAAATCCTCCATCGTTTTCTAGGTGTCTACTGTATTCTTTGCTTTCCAGTCACATAACTTTTCTTTAGTTCTAGCTGCTTAAATATTTTGAAAAGAGCTATTTAAACCTAGGTTTTAGTATCCTTTATTTCTTTCTCGAAAGTGCCCTGCCCCTTTTTCCTTCCCCGTGCCCAGGTAGAATAGTTTCTGAAGTCAGTGACATTTTCTACTCTAATGCCTGTGCCTGTGACTAAAAGGTGACAAGTAAAATAAGCAAAAGCTGGAACTGGCTCAACGCACAATCTTCAGCGTGCAGATGGGCGCGCCCTTGGCTGCAGAGAGGTAGCCTTGTTGCCTGCAACTCTTCTAACATTTTAATGAGCTGCGAGTTTTTTGGGTTTTATCCCTTACTTTTTTTTTTTTTTTTTTGCCTTGCTTTGAGGTGTTTGCTGTATCTGTGAGAAACTGGCTTTCACTGATGGATGCAGCCTACTTTGGCCTTTAATTTTTGACCATTGACTTTTTTTCCCAGGAAAAGGGTGTCAGTGTCTGTACCATGCTATAGCCCTTGACTTTCAAAATCAACACTTGAAGGCCTGGTGTAAAGATTTCTTTTAACTTGCTTCAGGTGCTGGCCTTTAGAAATAACTTCCCAGGATGCCTTTTATTTTCTAGGCCATTAGCACAAGGAGAGCTAGAAAAAGTGGAAGAGAACTGACTTTTCCATGTAGATACTGGATTAGAAGCTGTTTCTAGAGTTACCCCAAGTAAAAATGTTTGGTGGGGTTTCTGTATAAACTTCTCGGAGGGGGTTGGATATCGTGAGTAAATTTGATTAATTTTAATTCAAAGTTAAATCACTGTGGCATTTGATAGTTTTATGATGACATCTTCTAGACTTGCCCATCCTATTACAAATTCAGTGCATTCTACTCTACTCTAAAGCAAGATTTGGCAGCGTTGAGACTTCAGAGGCACTTCCTTACCCTGGACCAAACAGGCCTTTGGATTCGTGGTGGCTCTCAGTGTAGGAGTTGCTGCGGGAGCGTGCTGGAGGTCGTGCAGATGCCAGCCGAGACGATTCCGTTGCCAAAGCTGCCGAGACCACTGTTACGTGTCACTTGTGTGTGTGTTTGGAAATCCTGGTTCGTAAGGATCATTCATTCATAAGCCTTGGTGTCATTTAATCCACTTGAACAGAGTTTCTCCAGTCCAGTGCCTGATTGGGCTTATTAATGCAAATCATGCTGCATGTTCTTTTAGCGGTAGGTCAGGTTCTCTATGCATATAATCTAAAATTAAAGGAAGGTAACGTACCAAAAGAGTTTTAAACTGCTGATTTGACTTTTTTTTCCCCCCTTTCATACGGAGTTTTCCAGTTGCATGTCACTTCCGTATCTGTTACAGAAGGACTGCAGACAGGACTGGGTTCCAAAATACTGTCTACGTACTGTGAAGATACATTGGCAGGGCAAACAATTTCTCTTGTCTTGAAAGCTCACCCGGTCCTGTGTACTCAAGACTGGCTGATTAAAGAACTTTTTCCAGAAGGGGTCTGCCTGCTTCGACTCCAAGAGCTCCTTCCTGTCCTTCCCTTCCCTCTGCCACCCCTGACTGGAGGAGGAGGTTTTTTATCGTGATAGCCAAGGCTAGAGCCAGCTTGTGAGTTGAAGACCCGCAGAAGCAGCTGTCAGGGTTCAGTCTTGTACCGTGTGCTCGTTCACTTGGGGTTTGTTAAACTTCCAAATTGCCGTAAAGTGCTCACACTAAAGGATTTGTACTTGCTGTGTCAGTCTAAAACCTGAAGGAAAATACATTTTTATTCTTTCTACTTGGGTGCTTTGTCTTTTTTTTTCCTTGTGAAAGCCCTACAATAAACAGATTATTTAATAACTGAGCCCTATTCCTCCTATGTTCCCTCTGTTCTTTCTGAGCTAGTGGCCCGTTGATTGAATTTTCTTGGCTAGTGAGCACTTAGTTTTGATTTCCCAGAATGAGACGCAGGGAGATGGTGTAGATGAACATTTTGTTGCTAGTATTGTGATTTCTTTTTAAAAGGGCTCAATAGCAGAACAACTGCTGGAATTTTTCCATTCTAAAATAATGTTTTTCTCCCAAGTCTCTGCTGTCTTCCCTAGCTAAGAGTCTTAAAACCTTCCCAAACACTTTTTTTTAGAGGGAGGCATAAAGCTGGAAGGTCCTTGTTAGCTGAATTCAGTTGACTGCTGCAGGAACCAACAAATTACAGCAAGTAGGAATGAAAATCATCGTGCAGGCTAATTTTGGGTTCTGACCAGGTAAGAGCTGGACAGTGCAATGTGCTGCTTCATCTTCTGCAGAAGTGGGCTGGGCCAAAGGCTGCGGCAGGTGGGTGTTGGATGTGGTGGGAAATGATGGCTAAACGGGAAGAATCGGGTGGTACAGGCAGTTAATGCTGACTGGCACCATCTGCTGCAGTTCACAGGTATTGTTACAAGCTGCCTGCACCCAGTGGATTATGGGTTTTTTTCCTCAGAAAAGTGCCCTTTTTAAGTAGTTGTGCTTGGTTATTGTTGTCCAGAGTGGGAAGCTGGTTTATGGCTTTGCTAGGAGTTTGCTGTGTCGTGTTTTTCAAGGACAACCTGGGACATGGCAGAGGGGTTTCCCTGGCTGCAAGGAGACGAGCACAAAATCCAAAACACTTTATAAATTCAGAAGTAATTTTCTTGAAAGAAGGTGTACAAACCCCCAGAAGAAGCAAATCTCCATCCCTCCCCCTTTTCCCCAGGTTTGCTGATGGACTCAAAAAAACCCCAAAACCTGTGTCCAGTTTGTGGGCTCTTCCCACCAAACAAACTCCACGAGAGCTGTGAGCTGATAGTGGCCCAGTAAGTGAAAAGAACAGTTGTAGAAAATCCACAGAAAGCTTCTGGAAAAGTCACTTTAAAGAAAAAGGCTGATGGAAGAAGAATTCTAGGTGTCCCTGGGAACAGAAAGAACAAACAGTATATGACTTCAAATTTTAAGCTTTTTTTGTCATTTCTCAAGGATTTATGTTTTCTTGGTTTGAAGAGGCAAAGCAAAGACTATTTCCGTTTAACTACAAATAAAACCAATGTAACCAGAGCACCAAAATTATACAGTTGTCAATCCTCTAGTACTCAAAACACAAGAGCAACTTTCTGTGTGCTGGGAAAAAAGATGAAAAATCGCTGTGGGCATCACTTACGTGGTGGTCAACTCTTGTCAGTCATTTTCCTCTTCTGCAAAACAAAAGATAATTAGGGTGTTAATGGGGTGTAGGAATAACAACAAAGGTGCAGGTGTGTTTTCACCTGCAGTGTGATGACTATGACAGCTCTTCTCCCACTGGAGCAACCTACCATCCTCCCCACTCCCAGCAGAGGGCTGAGGTGTGGAAATGCTCCACAGCAGGACTGGGGCTTGGAGCTCAGCCCCAGCTGCCTTTACCTTTATCTTCCACTTTAAAATCGGATGGGAGGAGGTTGTCCTGCCGGTTCCCCAACACGAAGGCCAGGAAGGAGAGTATGAGGGCGTCGAGGATGCCGATGATGCAGAGGATGTACGCCCAGCGCACGGTGCAGGCGCCCAGCGTGTATTTGTCTGTCTTGTCCCCACACATGCGCTTCACCTCGCTCGAGTCCCAGCCGTCGGGGTAGATCAGGCACCCGATCATCAACCCGGTGGCTGTGGGGAGAGCGAGATGTTACAGCCACCTCCTGAGCCGCTCCTGCACGGTGTGTGGGGTCAGTGGGGGGGCACAGCGCAGCTGTATCCTGCCACAAACACAATGCTACAACCATAAAATGCTACAGCCTGGCTAACTAGGCTCAAAAGTGCCCTGTGGTTGCCCATCCTGCGTGGGTTCTGCTTCCATCGTGCTGCTGCAGCGTAGGAAGAGCAGGACAGGGCACGCTGCTCCCCATCAAGGCCGCGCTGCAGCAGCATCTCCCATCGCTGTGTTGCCCAGGCAACATCTCTCTCCTGCCTCCACACACGTCCCTGGCTGCGTTGCTCCAAAGAAATATTTTCTCAGCACAAAACCAGGATGGATTTAGTCTGTGAAGGTGAAGAACCTTGTTATTGCCTTGCACATAGCTGGATTTCAGCTTACGCTTCGCTAAGGTAGAACTGCCGTCAGCAGCAGCTTTGCAGGCAGATTAATTCTGCTTGTTCAGCTGCAGTGGTTCCAGCCCGGCCCTGAGCCACCGGCTGGTCCTGTGGCTGCTCTCATCGCCCGGCGCACACACGACCCCGACGGCCGCTCCAGCCCGGCCACGGGGCCCCTCGGCACGTCGCCCTTGTGGCTTTGCCCTGGGAGTTGCAATAAACCTGACGTGAACTGCTGAAGGGCTGTCTTCTGCCAAGCGGCTCGTGTCCCAAAATTTCAGAAGTGCTTTTTTTTCTTTCCCCATGTGCTCAGAGAAATTGTATTTGCTGGATACGAGTGACTGGGTTCAGCAGGGAGAAGAGCCGAGCTCATCTGCAGGGCTTTGGGATGTGATTAATGGAGGCTCTTCGCATCCTCTACTGTTACCTTGGTGTAGAGCTGGGAAGTAACTGGTCCTTTATATCTTTTTGTGCAGGTGTGAGGATGTCCTGGGCTCCTCATGCCAGAAACAACCTCAGGGTAGGAGCTCTGGGTGAGCAGCCATTTATCCCTACCCCCTGTGGACATCTATAGCCCCCTGCAGCAGCGAGATGCTCCCTGCCCTGTACTGGTGCCTTTTCTCTGTCACTGGGTGCTCAGTAATCTAGTTTTGGGGTGATTCCCTCACCCTTTGCTGATGGTTTTTTTCCCTTGGTTTGGGGACAGGAGAGTGGCAAGGCCAGCGGGCAGCTTCCTAGGTCTGCAGAGAGCATTTCTCTTCATTAAGAAGCAGCTGGTTTCTCCTGTATTTAATTACTCTTCCCTGTAGCTAACAGAGAGGAGGGGCACAGAGAAAGGGGGGAAGCTAGAAAGAAATCGATTCTCCTGTGAAAATGCACCCTGGGTGTGGAGCAATGGCCGGAAAATGGATCCTCTTGTTGCAAGCCCTCTTTCTAAAATAACTCCCAGAAATGCAGCGGCACCTGCATTGCCCGGTGGTGGCTCAGAAGCTCCCAAGAGCCTGTCTGGAGCAGAAAAACTGGGCTGTTGGGGATGATTCGGGCTCATCTTTGCAGCCAGAGCTGCCTGCACTAGGTTTCTCTCTGCCACCCAGCACAAAAATGTACGTAAAAGCCCCAAATACAACCACAAAGCCTTTCCCTGCTCCGGCTCCCTGGGAGGCTGAGCTGTCCCAAGCCTCTTATCTAAATCTTGGCTTGAGCTCACTTCTTTAGCCAGGAACTGGAGCAACCCCGATGCCACGGCCGTCCTGTGGGGTGTCAGCTGGGGTGTCCCTGCGTGGGGGCACCCAGGGAGGGTGGGAGCTGCAGCCAGTCCCAGCATGAATGATTCAGGAGCAGCAAAGGGCTGGGTTGGGTTTCAGCAGGGCTGCGAAGGCAGGAGCTGGGTTACCGCGTGTCTTGGGTGTCTCGCTGCGTTGGGGGAGGGATGGGGAGGGCTGGAGATCTGCAGGAAAATGTGGGTGATGGTACTAAGTCTTACAGTCAGTCCCCTCCTCCTGTTCCACCTCCCCACTACATCATCCCCTGAGCTCAGGGAGTTACCAAAATAACACAGCAAATGTTATCACCATCTCCTTGCTTAGTTCCCACAGGATCCCCAAGGCAGCAGGGAGCCCCCCAGCACTTGGGGCTCTCAGACTGATGCTCTGAAGCCACGACCCCGCTGCACCCTGGGGCTGAGCAGAAGCGACGGTGCTGGGTGACGGCCAGAGGAACAACCCCCCCACACCCCCAGGTAAGCAGGGACGGGCCGTGGCTGGGCTGTTGGTGCCGCTCGGTTTTGCAGCAGCAGCACATGGTGGGGGGAGCGCTGCCCACATGCAGCGAGTTTACTGGGTCTCAGCTGCTCTGACAGGCTTTATGTGCTGCAAACTCCCTGCTGGTAACCAGTAAGGGGGGGAAAATGGGGCATAGAGGTTATGCTGGTGTCTAGTCCCCCCAGCGAAGTCGAGGTGGGGGCAGAAAGGGAAAAGCAGCTCTGGCCCCCCCATGCATCACTCCCCACCCCACTCACCTGCCGCCAGCTGCATCCAGGCACAGACTTTATAGACTGTGGCAGCGTTGCAGAAGAAGAAGAGGCTGAAGCAGAGGATGGAGCCGATGATGAGGAAGGTGGAGATGCCTACGAAGAACATGGCAGTTTTGAAGGCGCTGGAGGGGATGGTGCCGAAGTCCAGGGGGCTGCCCTTGCAGATGAGCTCGCCCGTGAGCGCGTTGCCGATGCAGTAGGAGAAGAGGCCGAAGTAACCGGCCTGCGGCGTGTCGATGCTGTCGCCGATCCAGTACGGCTGGATGAAGGTCACGACCATCAGGATGGAGAAGCAGAGGGTGAAGAGGGCCCAGAGCACCCCCATGGCCCGCGCGTTCCGCACATAGTTGGTGTGGTAGATCCGTGCCGCCTCCTGCGCCGGCAGCAGCTTGGGCATGGCGGGGCCACCGGCACGGCCACCGGCACGGCTACCGGTATGGCTACCGGCACGGCTACCGGCACGGCCACCGGTACGGCTACCGGTATGGCTACCGGCACGGCTACCGGTATGGCCACCGGTACGGCTACCGGTATGGCTACCGGCAC